CCGTCTCAAAAAAAAAAAAAAAAAAAAAAAGACAAGACATCACAGCGGCCTGGGCTGGAGGCATCTCAGGGTGTCCCAGGATTAGGAAGCTCTGTTATGCTGCACGCACATTGCACATTCTCCTGGGATTCCAGCTTTCCTCTCAGGATCAGACAGGACTGAGGACTTAGAAGCAGAGTTCTGAAGACAGACCCCCCTCTTTACTCTGCTGCCACTACACGATTTTCACCCCCTTGTAAACATACCCACTAGGCACTGACATGGCCATATCCCTCCCAGAACAAGGCTTCACCCTCAGGAATCCCGTCACAGCACCTTTGCTTCTAGAGTTTCCCGTAGAAAACCCACACAGGTGCCTGGAAGACTCCTGGCCTATCCCCGCCCCCAGCAACCTGGTCTCTCCCAGGCTTTTGGATGATATGACCGTCATCTCATCTGCCTGCATGGACACAGGAGTGAGCCGGAGCATAGCCCCACTTGGGCCAGTACCTGTAGGCACAAACCACCTCTTCACTAACCCTGCGCTGAGTACTTAACATGGGTACTTGCTAGCACTTTTCTATTTTTTTCTTTCCTACAAACCCTCTTTGATATGCACAGTTTGTCCAAGGCTAGCCCTCAAGTGCCTGAATCTAGACCCACAGGAGTTCAGATATCCATGAGTCCAAGACGATGGCCCTTAACTTAGCTGTGGATGGTCACTGAAGGCCCAGTTACTTCTTCCCGGGGAACCTGGGCTGTGGCAGGTCACTGAAGGCCCAGTTACTTCTTCCCGGGGAACCTGGGCTGTGGCAGGTCACTGAAGGCCCAGTTACTTCTTCCCGGGGAACCTGGGCTGTGGCAGGTCATTGAAAGCCCAGTTACTTCTTCCCGGGGAACCTGGGCTGTGGCAGGTCATTGAAAGCCCAGTTACTTCTTCCCAGGGAACCTGGGCTGTGGCAGGTCATCGAAAGCCCAGTTAGTTCTTCCTGGGGAGCACCCCCTGCAGGTGTCTGTACACCCCAAACATGAAAGAGCTCTTTATACTGAGAGCAGCTAGAAATAAGAGGCTTAATTCCCCCCCCAGAAAATAGGAGAATAAATTTTGCTCTTCTCCCCTTTTTTAAAGCTTTTATTTACTTTTTTATTTTTTGAGACATGGTTTCATTCTTTTCACTCAGGCTAGAGTGCAGTGGCACATTCATAGCTTACTGCAGCCTCAAACTTCTGGGCTCAAGTGATCCTCCTTCCTCAACAGCGAGAACTAAAGGAACACACCATACCACATGGCAAATTTTATTTTTTATTTTGTGTGGAGGTGAGATCTCACTTCTGTTGCCCTGGATAGTCTCGAACTCCTGGCTTCATGCTGTCTTCTTGCCTTGGCCTCCCAAGTGCTGGGATTACAGGCGTGAGCCACTGTGCTGACATAGACATCTTAAAGCGCCAGTTTCAGAGTGGCACCCTTTGAGTTTTCCAAGTCCAGTGACCTGTTACAGTTGTGTGAGAAGCTCCTGGTATAAAGAGAGCCTGGTGGCCGAGGTGGGCAGATCACATGAGGTCAGGAGTTCAAGACCAGCCTGACCAACATGGAGAAACCCCATCTCTACTAAAAATACAAAATTAGCTAGGGTGGTAGTGCATGCCTGTAATCCCAGCTACTCCGGAGGCTGAGGCAGGAGAATCGCTTGAACCCAGGAGGCAGAGGTTGCGGTGAGCTGAGATCGTGCCATTGCACTCCAGCCTGGGCAACAAGAGTAAAACTCCGTTTAAAAAAAAAAAAAAAAAGAAAAGGAGCCTAGTGACAGAATCTGTAAATGTAAACAAGAACTTCAGCAGGGCGAGGTTAGGGCCACAAAATAGGCAGAGCCATGGTCACAGTCACACCCACCTGTAAAGTGTGATACGGAAGCACTGTTGTCCTTTCTCTTACTCAAGATTTAGCTAATTAGGGACAGGTGATATCTCCTCTGGATTAAGAATCTGCCACTCCACCATGGCAGTTTTGTGTGTTTTTTGTTTTGTTTTGTTTTGTTTTGAGATGGAGTCTCATTCTGTCACCCAGTCTCATGCTGGAGTGCAATGGGGTAATCTCAGCTCATTGCAACCTCCACCTCCTGAGTTAAAGCAATTTTCCTGCCTCAGCCTCCTGAGTAGCTGGGATTACAGGTGCCTCCCACCACACCCAGCTAATTTTTTTGTATTTTAGTAGAGACAGTTTCACCATGTTGGCCAGGATGGTCTTGAACTCCTGACCTCAGGTGATCTGCCCACCTCAGCCTCCCAAAGTGCTGGGATTACAGTTGTGAGCCACCATGCCGGCCTGTTTTCTATTTTTGCCCCACAGAATCAGCCGGAATCTCTCTTGCCTAGATCACCATGGGGACATAAGCCCAGGGTCACTGAGGACCCTGTCACAGGTACTGGAGAGTCTTTAAACATTAGTGCAGACTAAGGTCAGGCTGACAAAAAGGTCTAAATCTGCTTCCGGTCTATGGCCATACCACTCCGAACATGCCCAGTCTCATCTCATCTTGGAAGCTAAGCAAGGTCAGGCCTGGGAATTCTGGATCCTGTAGGCTTTTTTCCTGTTTTTCTTTTCCATTAAAAATAAATAAATAAACAAAGCTGCTTCCATCTCAGAGGAAGAGAAATGAGTCATGCATGTTTCTTCTTCCCCCCCTCACAAAAGGAATCTCTTTGATTGATATCCAGATGAGACTGGCTCCAGTTTCCTGGTATTGGGTAAAAAACAAGGAGGAGATCTTGAGACTCAAACTGATAAACCAGTTGCTTCCATTTCATATGGCTGTTACAAAAACAGATGACACAGTCATGGGTCCTTACCAACCAGGCACTTTCAGTCTAGAGCCAGTGGATAAACGGTTGAATTCAGCATCCTGTGGTCGGTACAAAGAAGGGAGGTAGGGAGGTATACAGAGGTTTGGGGCTTCATTGGGGCCACTTCTCTTTTCTTGTTCTTTTGTGAGTTCTGGTGTTGCCACCTGAAGGGCTATCCGTGGACAAATAGTGGTTATTATCTTTGTTTCTATTGCATTTTCCTTGCCAAGAATAAATATTTAGTTTCTAATATATTTGTCCTAGAAAGCTCTAAGGGTGTTGGTTAAATTGGTCGTTACTGTATCTTGTAAAATAGACGAGGAAGTGGCTAAAATTGGTTAAAATTACACAAACTCTGGGAGTCAAGTGTCTGTTGGGCAGGCTTAGGAAAAACAGAACCGGTAGTACCCAGAGGCATAAAGATGAGAAGCTGAGGGCCTGCTTCTTGGCCCTGCTCTGCCAGATCAACCTGCTTCCCAGGCCTTCTCCCACCCTGAAATCTCCCGCACAGAATTCATTAGAGGACATCAGAGTTTTGCATGGTGGTTCCTGTGATCTCTCGAGAGGAGGTGCTCACAATTTTCCCAAATCCAAAAGCAGATAAATGAGAACAAAGAACTGTGTGATTGGGGACCTTTGTTTTTCGTTGAGACCAGTGCTGCTGGAGACATGCCACCCAGCAACTGTTCCTTCCTGCAGGTCAAATTGTTTTTCATTCCTGCAGATCCAGTAGTTCCTACTTACAAGAAAGTAAATACAAACACGACAACGAAAAATCCCTGTCAACTACATTTAACCCCTTCTTTCTGTATCTCTCCCATCTGTCTGTATTTGGCTTTTATTCTATATATTTTCTTTCTAAAACTCAGTGATGGAGAAACAGATAAAGAACAGCTGGGCCCTTCATGTAACTCCTGGGGATTATGGAGCATTGCATTAATGCCCGTATCCATGTTGTTCTCCCAGTGCAGGCTGGTCTTGAACTCCCGACCTTAGGTGATCCACCTGCCTCGGCCTCCCAAAGTACTGGCATTACAGGCGGAAGCCACTGCACCCGGCCAAAGCATTTCTGTTGTGATACCAGTGTTGGGTACAAGGGACTCTGTGCTGTGTTTGCCTTCTCTCGCTGAGTGCTGCTGCTAAGGAGTCCGGGGGAACAGTATCAGAAGACTTGTTATAGAAGCCAATTTGCAGACCCCTTTCACACCTGCGGAAACACATGACTTAGAATGGGGCCTGGAATACCAAATTAGAATGCCAAATTCTTTATATGTACATTGAAGCCTGAGAGACAATATTCAGCTATGTGGTTCTCAGCCCAGGCTTCCAATTAGAATCAAATAGCCAGTTTGGAGAACTACCATCACATGTGCCCTCTCCAAAGATCCTGTCTGTGGTCTGAATGGAAGCATAATTGTTGTTTTAAGTAAGTGCCCCCCAACGATCCTAAGGTGAGATGAGAGTCAAGCTTGAGGGCTCCCAGATACAGTCACGAGACTTGAGTTCCAAAAGGAGGTCAGAGGGCTCTACTTGGGTTGGATAGGGGTAGGTCACCAAGGTCCATATTTCCTTTGCTGTACCAGAAATTGCTAGAGTTCATGGCAGGGGAGATCACCTGAAGGCAGGAAATTTTTGGTCTTTATGTGGTAGCTCATTTTTCCTCTCTCCTGTGACAAAGAATAGGGGAGTATTCCCTTTTCTGCACTTCAGGGCCTTCTACCTGCAGGTGTGCTGGTTGCAGTTGAAAGGGTTGTGCTGACACCTTTAAAGGCATATTCTCAAATGCAGGTGTGATTTGTCCAGATAATCTCACCTGAGAAGGAATCCCAGAGAAGAAGGAAGAAGAGGAAGAAATGGCTGGTTCTCAGGTGAATGTGTCTGGGTTCAGGGGATGTGTCCTCTTTTCTTCTGGGACGTTATGTGTTTAGAACTTGCAAACCTTTATTTCTGTACTTCTGATGTACCTGCCTAATGTGTTTCTTTCCAACTACTTCCCCCCCGGCTCTTTCTTATGATTGATTATCAGGGACCTCTGTAAAATCCTTCCTCCTGTATACCAGAACCTTCTCTCCATTGTCTCCATCCAGGCTTCTTATATGTCATGACCAAATCTTACCATTAATGTATGATGGGCAGTATTGAAATGTTCTGTGACATATCAACATGGGAAAGTGTGGATCCCCAGGATTACCCCTGGGAATGGGGCTGGGTCTTGGGGTGTCAGTGAAGAAGGGGACCATGTACTGTTCAGATTTCATCCACATGTTCCATCATCTCTATGCAGAACAGAATTAAGAAAAGAGACATTTAAAGAGGATGGCATTCATTGCCTGGAATAACTTAAAGTTCTGAAAAGAGAATAATTAGAAGACACTTGCTGTCTAGGATGCTAAAGAAACACTATTGAAAAACACTATTATAGATTGAAGAACCAGGGAAATATCTATAGCTTGAACTTTGCATAAAACTGATGTTTCTGATGCAACTGGAAACCATCATTCTCAGCCAACTATCGCAAGAACAGAAAACCAAACACCGCATGTTCTCACTCATAGGTGGGAATTGAACAATGAGATCACTTGGACACAGGAAGGGGATCATCACACACCGGGTCCTATTGATGTTTCTGGCCAGACACTGTGGCTCATACCTCTAATCCCAGCACTTTGGGAGGCCAAGATGGGCAGATCACTTGAGGTCAGGAGTTCAAGACCAGCCTGGCTACCATGGTGAAACCCCATCTCTACTAAAAATACAAAAATTAACTGGGCGTGGTGACGTGCGCCTGTAGTCCCAGCTACTTGGGAGGCTGAGGTGGGAGAATCCCTCGAACCCAGGAGGCAGAGGTAGCAGCGAGCCAAGATTGCACCATTGCACTCCAGCCTGAGCGACAGAGCAAGACTGTCTCAAAAACACGAAACAAAAAACCAGATGTTTCTACATGATTAGATTCAGATTGTAATTTACTATTTTTGTGGCCAATAATATCAGAGCAGTGATGTTGTGTCCTTGATGTCATGTGATCCTTGATGTCATTTTATCCTTGACATCCTTGATGTCAATTTATCCTATTATAGTTGATGTTAATTTTGTTTACTTGTTAAGGTGCTCTCTGTCAGATTTTTGGCACTATAGAGTTATTTTTCTCATTATTATTTAATACCTTGGGGAGATTTGCTGACTGATATAAATAAGCCATCACATTTAATTGGGAAGCTCTTCTTTCTTTTTAGATTCTCCTTGCTTATAGCTTGCTTTGGAAAATGAAGGCTCTCGTGTTTATTGGTTAGATAAACTGAAATAAACACAGGCTCTGCCACTTCCTGCATGTTCGAAAGAATATTTTCCTTGGCCCAGACACAGTGGCATCACTGTATAGCCCACTTAGAAATTCAGAAACTCAGGCTTCACCCTAGGTCTGGATCAGAACCTGCATTTTAAGAAGAAGATCTCTAGTTTATTGTGTACACATTAAAATTTGAGGGGTACCTTCTGATGAATCTACATATGAGAAATATTTACAACTTATCGTGTGTGATGTGAATATAGCAGGAAAAAAAATATATGTGCCTGTGTTGATACCCTTAATTTTATACTGTATTATTCACGAGAGTAGAATATCTACACTGGTTATGTGGAGCTTATGCCATCCTCTTTCTTCAGAATTAAGAGAATACGTTAGAGAATATTTCTGTGTTTACAATTATTTGATCATTTCAGTCTCTTGTGTAAGTAAGAACTAGTTCTCTCTGTCTCTCTTTGTGCCTGGAATCAAATTAAGAACTCTACCCATGGCCACCTGATAAGTGTGTGTTTTCTCTTTTCCAGGGACTGTTGATATTCAGGGATGTGGCCATAGAATTCTCTGCGGAGGAGTGGAGCTATCTGGACCCGGCTCAGCAGAATCTGTATAGGGACGTGATGTTAGAAAACTACAGAAACCTGGTCTCTCTGGGTGAGGATCACTTCAATGCACAATTTCTATTTTACGCTGAAGATTTTATTTCCTTCGTTGTAGAATATTTTTGGGAATTTCTGCTTTGCATGAATGAGTTTCAGATTTCTGCTTTCAAGGAAAACTTGGGGATTTGTTGGTGTAGAAGAAAATAATCTTGAAGGTATTTTATCTTGACATTATCTTTCCTTTCTTGAGGTGATGTGCATACTCTAGTGGTGGTAATTCCAGAAATTTTGTGGCATAAAATAGTGTTGCTACACCCTAAAAAATCCAGTTACCACCACCAATTTTTGATTCAGTAGCAATAGGTAGTGAAGCTAGGGACTCACAAATTTAAAATACTTTCTAAATATTCTAAAGGTTCTGTGAGGAAACAGTATTTTGGGATTAATTTTCTAGAATCTGCTATTTCCTCGTTTCTCTACTGAGCACAGTACTAGGTTGGTAATTAGAGAATCCAAGCAAGAGTCATGCTACTTTTTAAAAAATAAAAAAGGTCCTTTTAAAAAAAATTTTTTTTAAATAAAACAGGTATTGCTGTCTCTAAGCCAGACCTGATCACCTGTCTAGAGCAAAGGAATGAGCCGTGGAATGTGAAGAAACATGAGACAATAGGCAGACACCCAGGTAGGTGGGAGTAAATGGAGTAGATGATACAGATGAGAGGTTCAAAGATCGAGGAGGAAGCCAGACCTTAAAATGTGGTTTGGGAAGCTCTGCTCCAATGGAAATGGCTTCTGAGAAGCCTGCGTTTCTTTCCCTTGCTCTCACAAAGCAACACCTCTGTCCCGTGCTCTGAAATTCTTTTAGGGCTCTGCTTTCCCTTCAGTGACTTTTCTTCACGATGACAGTGAGAGCCAAAGTCGTCTTCAGAGCTTGGAACAGACCGTAGGATCTGATTGTTCTTCCATTGCTTTGAGGACACAGGAATATCTGTATTTTTGAAAAGCTGTTTGTTAAACTATTTTTTAAGTTCCCTTTTTGCGTTATGTCTAAGGTGTGTGAGAGGAGTGGGATTTGGCTCCGAATCCCAGGGACACTGGAACAGATGTTACATGTTTTCTGCTTTGTGATTTCCCATTCTAGAGAGGTTTTAAATGTCAGTCTATAGAAATTTATACTCAGTAATTTTATAAGAACACTAGACATCTCCCTACATGTAAGAAACTGTTATTTTTTTATTAAACATTTATTGTTTTAGTATAAACTGAGATTGGTAATTGGGTACCTTCTGATGAATCTACGTATGAGAAATA